GCACCCTCTACGGCTTCGGCGGCTAAACTCCATCATTGCCGGCATAGCTGAACTGTTAACAACACAAAGGCTCTTTTCAGAGCCACCCACAAATTTCACGACAAGAGCTGTTTATTACTGTAGAGGCCGTTTATTCAAAGTTAAAGTTCGTAGTTCAGAACATTGCTCACTAATCCATTGTTAGTGCAACATGCATGATTTTTACATAGAACATGTAAGAGAAACATAATTCGCAACTGCAGCTCTGTTTAGGAAAGCGTGGTGGCTCTTAAAAGAGCCGTTGGGGGTTAATTTTAAATCTTTCTACTTGGAGCTGGTGTACTTGGTGACAGCCTTGGTGCCCTCGGAGACGGCGTGCTTGGCCAGCTCGCCGGGCAGCAGCAGGCGCACGGCTGTCTGGATCTCCCGAGAGGTGATGGTGGAGCGCTTGTTGTAGTGCGCCAGGCGCGAAGCTTCGCCCGCGATGCGCTCGAAGATGTCGTTGACGAAGGAGTTCATGATACTCATGGCTTTAGATGAGATGCCAGTGTCAGGGTGCACCTGCTTCAGCACCTTGTACACGTAGATCGAGTAGCTCTCCTTCCTTGCTCTCTTTCGTTTCTTGTCTCCCTTCTTCTGGGTCTTGGTGACCGCCTTCTTGGAGCCCTTCTTGGGCGCGGGGGCAGATTTCGCCGGTTCAGGCATGGCTAATGTTTTCTTTCAAAGCTCTTCACTGTAGCTCAACAACATCAAAAATGGCGCCTGTGCCCCCTCTATTTATAATGGCGTTATGCAAATTAGAGGATTGTAATTGTTCCATTCCTATTGGTGTAAAAAATACCAACGTAATTACAGGCACTTCCGTCCTGTAACCGCCACGGCTTGGGCGCTGCATTTACACCAGCTTTGTGCTTTGTGACTCCGGTGAAGACAGTAATGCGTTTAAACGCAAAAAACCCGTTATCCAGAAAGTTGCTGTGCCTTTACATTCAATAACGAAATTCTGTAAAACATCTGATCATAGCACCCCAGGAATTTTCACCTACTCGGGTTTTGCGTAAGTTTATGTGTGGTATATGCGATATTAAATTATATGTTTTATAATACGGTGACTAAATATCATCTGGTAAGTTTGCTAAAAACCCTAGTAAGCCAAGAGATCAGTAACTTAACAGCTCTTGTTGTGAAACTTGTGGGTGGCTCTGAAAAGAGCCTTT